TTTTTTTGAATGAATCTCTTGAATGAATGATTCAATGACTCACTCATTGACTTCACTTGCTTCATTACTGTTTGAATCAGTGTTTTTGAACATATATTGTATATTTAGTTTATATATTATATAAAATATAGAATCCTATTTTTTTTAAATTCTGAATACACAACAAATCAAAGTAATTTACTAGAGGTTCTGAGAAAATGTTAATTGCTTTTTATAAAATTGGTTTGAGTGAAAGATTCAGTGACTCACTCATAAAAGACTTCACTTGCTTCATTACTGGATGAATCAGTGTTTTTGAACAAATCTCTTAAAAGAATGATTGAAATACATTTTTTTAACAGTCACTCGTAATTGATGTGATCTTTATCTGAAGCGTCAAGTTACTTTGATTTGATTTTAACTGTTCTTGTCTATAATTTGAGGCTGTGCTGTGGCGTCTTACGTTGTAGGCGAGCACACACTGCTCATTCAAAACGACTCTGTGTTTCACCTCCACATTATCACAGATAACCGACTGCTTGACCTTCACATCATTGGCTATGTGGACTCTGTTCCATATGTAAGCTCTATCCAGAGTAACACTGTCTCCTAAGTAGACAAAACAGCAGTTAGCAGGATGTCAAAAAAACAGATTTTAACACTGTTACATGGTATTTTACACATAAAAAATGATAACTGAACTGAGTTTTAGAAGGCATGGATTGTGTGATTACACAAAAAATATACGAGAGTAGGCCTGGGCAAAATGGCTAAAAACATAATTTTTCGCCTTTATTTTAAGTGCTGAATATTCAGCTTTAATCACAGGAAAAATAATAATATTTTAAAATATTGTAAAATAGTTATTTTAAATAGTAAACTATTTTACTATATTACAATTTTTACTGTATTTTCGATAATACAAATAAATGCAGCCTTGGTGAGCAGAAGAGGCGTCTTTCAAAAACATAAAAGCCCCGTATAAATGACAGACTTTTGAATAGTAGTGTGCAAGTGGATCAAAACCTTTTATCAAAGTTGTCCTAAAACCTAAAAACCAAAATGTGTTCTTGTCTTAGGACAACTTTGATGAACTTTTTTGATCCACTTCAAATGTTGACTACTGTATACTTTTCCATGACATTCTAATTTATTGAGATGCACCTGGACACACACTAAAATAATCCAAATTAAGACAGATGGGCTTGTATAATAATTATTGACATTTTTTATAACCTTTTTTAAAACAAAGAGCAATAGAAAAAAAAAAAAGTTTAAATTTAACCACTGTATTTTTAAATTAACCCAATTTATTGAGACAAACTTTTATATCTAGACAGGGTCTGTGGAGGAGCGACACTCACTTGTGTTCCTGTAAAGCCTGGGAAATATCGATGTTGGACACCACGTCCCCATACACCAGCAGAAAGTCCGAGCGGACGAGAGCTTTGGCGTCCACGTCCCTCAACACATCTCCGAGAGAGCGGTACAGGTCAGAGGTGATGATGTGCACCACATTTGGAGATGTGGGGCGACACCATTTGGACTTTCTGTGAAATAAGACGACAAATACTGAGTCATCAGAGTCACAGCCATTCAACGGCATCATTAAAAACATCACAGCATCTCACTGTAAGTGTTCCTTTATTTTGCTGGACATCCAGCAGCAGAAGACAAACGTCTCTTGCACTCCAGTAGAGGTCAGAAACTCTAATGTGTAGTCAATCATGGAGATATTAGCCAGAGGTAGAAGAGCCTGGGGGGGGGACAAGAGTGAAAAGTGACTCTATAAATAGTCTAGAACGCTGAATTAAAAAGGTAACAAGTAATACTCTTCATTTAGAAAAACATTCTATGCTAGTACCATTGTACAGTTCTCTTTTGTGTCTTCTTGTGCTTGAATGGACAAATAAACACAAATTATGTCAAAATACTCATCTTGGCAAGCAACTTCTAGTCTATCAACACATTAGATCTGTGCATTAGGGCTTGTGAATCGCAATTGTCTGTCATTAATGTTAGCAAAACAGCGAAAGACAGAGGAAATCACTTACTGCTCTTGACTGAATAACTTAATAGTTTTTAAAAGGATTACTATTTAATTTGTACAGTGAGAACTATGCAGTGTTATATCTGATTATTCAATTTCTGTACCTCAATTCTACTGTTAGATCTATCTGAAAAATTTAAAACACTGTTTATTTCATTTGTATCTTTGCTGAAATGCATTTTTTGTGCTATTGCTTGTAATTTGTTTATTTGTTATTACTTTATTACTGATTGTTCATTTATCTTTAGTAATGTCTGAACTTTATATTAGTTAGCAGTTTTTGCTGTGGTATCAAAATGGGTCAAAACAATGACAACCATAACTTTTTATTCTATTTTATCCATTTATTATATTGTGAAATTTTTTTTTTATTATTATTATTATTTTAATAATTTTTTCCCATGCAGATGCACAAAATCACATCACTTACTCTAGAAAGATTACTTATTTTCAAATAAAGCTATTCAAGTCATCTGGTGAAAATTCCTGTACATTTTAATATTGCAGACAAACAAAACATTGCAAAGCCATTTTTTTCCCCAATATAGTGCAGTTAATAGTTACCAATAACCAAGTTATTTTAAAAGTATTGGTACCATAGGTCCAAAAAAAGGTAAAATAAAATAGCATTAGATACCAACAATATCATGTTACTCGATTACCATGTTCACCTAGCATGGTATATAAATGGTACATAAAGGTACTTTTAAGGACATTGTACTATTACTAAGCAAAAAGCAGGGGAAAGTTATGAACAATAACATAGATAACATTCTCCTTACTCAGCTAAAATTGCATATACACAAATCAAAATACTTTAAAGTGAAACCCAGTTTGTCACAATGACTTTCTTTCTTATATAACAGCCCAGAAATGATAAAAAATAAATAAAATGCAGTACTTTTTAGCATATTGATCTAAAAAAAATAAAAAAATAAAATACCGAACCTACTGTATTGTTGTTGCCATGTTTGCACATGACAAGTTGTACAGTTAAAATACAGACAAATAAACAAAAAAAGTTAGCCACAGCACCATGTCCAGAACACATGATGGACCTCTGAAGCTGTGTGTTTTGTTCAGTATCGCAGTGACTCGTGTGTTTGGATCCAGAGGCACACATGTTCACGATGAAGCTGTGTTTTGTGCAGTATTGTGATGTTGACCTCACTCACCCGAGGCTGGTCTTTGCTGATGGGGAAGAACCTGCGGTTGAAGCTGTCTGCGACGAGAACGGCCTGCAGCAGCGGCTGCTCCTCTTCATCCTTCTCCGCCTTTCTAGGGCGACTCTGTTTCCCTGCTTTGGCTGCCATGTTTGTGAGCGAGGTCTGCTGCAGCAGTGACACAGAAACGCAACACAACGGCAATAAGCGTGAAACTGGGTTTGGTGACCCGGAAGTTATCTCTAATTAGTAAGTTTTAATGTTTCTAATATGAATTCTCCAGTTTTAACTCTTAACTGCGTAAGGTCCGTTTAATGTCTATTCCCGTTTTTCAGTGTCAGTATTCATTTAGAAATTGTTGTTCAAGCTGCCGCTGGAGAGCAGCGTAAACGGCGCTGTCA